AACACTTTTCAGCATCTCTTGTTTCTGACCCACAGGCCTATCCTGATCAGCACCGTACCCCCCTCTCTCTCATTGGGTATCACTGTATCATCATAGGAAGAAAACAAGGACACATATCACTTTGGAGAAAAAAGCAAACATGCACGCGCACACACACACATCCATGGCCCCAGGAATCAGCTCCTTGCTGAGGAACACTGACATCAAGGGCGAATACTAGGTTCTCCTTTGTTGTGGGGGGTTACTTGGGGTCCCCATCCCCCACCGCCGCTCCTCCAGCAGCAGCACAAGCCCAGCCGTGTGGAAAACGCTTGCTGTCAGAAGAAATCTGGGCCAAGCCGGTGACATCGCCACGTGCGGCTTATGTAAGGGGAGGGCAGGGGAGGACAGGATGGAGAGGAGGCGGCTGGCACAGGCGGGAGAATGAGGGGGACACTGTGGAAAGTGGGGTTAGGGGGGAGGAAAAGGCAGGGATTCCTCCGCACAAGACAAGTGGGACAGGACTTCCCACACCGCTGAACACAACCCTTGCCATGCTTCACATTCACACAATACAGAGAGGTACGTGCAGGTTGGCTTGATGCAGATGCCATTGGGGGGTGCTGAAACGGAGAGTCCAGATAAAGGATTTATGGACTGTAGGAAGATCAGACCCCTCACAGAGAGAGAATGTATGGAACAGCAACATGCATCAGACTGGCACAGAAGATGGTGACTACCCAGGGTTGCACTTCACCAGATTCCAGAGATCCATGGGCGCCCAGTTTTGCCCCCATTACCACTGAGAGGCAGGGGGAGATGAGGCGAAGCGCATGCATGTGCAGACTTGTAGAAATTCATTTCCTCCCTGTTTCAAAGTTCTTCTTATTCAGATCTTGCAAGATTTGCTAGAGTCGTCAAGAAAGACTATCTAGGCAAAACAACTAATGTCTGGAAAAGCGACTCGCCATCTCAGGAGTGAGGGCGTTTGAGCAGTTAAATGAAAATCAGAAACATTTGTGCTTTCCTATGTGACTTGCTCTCTCAAGGCCTGGTGCATAGGAAGGAAGGAGGAGCAATGCTCCATATGAATCCAGTTTCCTTGGGCAGTTATGATAGCCTGTGTCAGCCAAATCAGCCAAGTGTCTTGTGACACCTTAAAGACAAACACGTGTACTAAGGTCCAGGCTTTCGTGCATCAGAATCACTTCTTCAAGTGTAATCCTCTGCTGGAAAAGTGAATCACAAGGCCGATTAATTTCTACTCTGTTTGACTAAATCTAGCACCACAAAACCAAAATATGCAAGTAAATATTTAGTTCACACAAGTGCACACACACACACACATCCTACACACACCAAGCTTGATCTGGTCTAGCAAACCTTATTAGACTATAACATTGTACTATCCCTCCCTACCTCTATTTATATCTTGCCTTTCTCCCTGGATGGGATTCAAGGTGCTTTACAAAAGGCAGAGAATATAATTTTTTAAAAAGCATAGTTAAAAACATATGTTGTTGTTGTAGTGTGCCTCCAACTCATTTCCAACATGGTGATCCTAAGGAGAACATATTACAGGGTTTTCTTGGCAAGTTTCTTCAGACTTGCCCAAGATCACCCAGTGGATTTCATGACTCAACAGGGATTCGAACCCTGTTCTCCAGTCATAGTGCAACACACAAACCACTACACCATGCTGGATCTCAGTTAAAAACATCAAAAATTAAAAATAAAACAGTATTAAATAACAACAAAATAAAAATAAATTAAAAGCTTACTTTAAAACAAATTAAAAATTCTATGTGTGTGCCTTCAAGTGGCCTGTCAACCACATAAATTTCATAGGGTTTTCTTAGGTAAGTTTTGTCAGTTCCTTCTTATGAAATATAGCCCACAGCACCTGGTATTTGTTGGTGGTCTCCTATCCAAGCACTAACCAGGGTTGACCCTGCTTAGCTTAGATCAGTGAAGATCTGGTGCATTTAGGATCCAGCATTATAAAAGCCTTTTTGTTGATAAAATCAGTTTCCAAAGGCATTCTGGAAAAGAAAGATCTTAACATGCCATGGTCTAG